ATATAATGTGACAAATAGACAAATATGAAAAACTTTGACGAATACTTTTCCGAGAGACTTTACAACCTCTAAGAACCATGTTTGGTGCTTCAGCACCAGAAAGTCCAAACAAAACAAACACACGAGGCCAAAAATAAAATCAAAGCCAGACACTTTCCACACTTCATAAATCATGTACTGAGACGCTAAAACTAATTTGGAATCTAATCTTACCACAACATAAACAGAATTGAAAGACGGTCCCAAATTCCTGACATAGGTGAGACATATGAGAGCAACTTTAATGAAGATTAAAGTGTCACAGTTTTCGTAATGTTCAGACAGGATTGATGAGATCATGAAATGGCAGAATACGACCCCAGAGATCAGCAAATTAGATCAACCATTGCATTTTATCCTAAACAAGAATTTCTGCACAGGTAATCTTTGACAGACACAAAGTAGTTTGGCAGAGAGTTTGGAATGAACAAAATCAATCTACGCATGATAGAAACACGATAGAAGCTAAAGATTCTGGCAATATTGAAAAAAGACCTTCTTTTGTCTTTTCACTGATATCAGATTATGATAAATCCATAACTACTCTCTCCAAATGGACCTCGACATGTTTACTAATTAACTTCAGGGAATCAGGGAATCTGGTATCCTGATTCAGATTCTGTGCAGGAATCACAGAAGATTTTTCAGTTGATACATTTAAACACTCAAGAGTAACTTAAGGTTAATCATGGAGTAAAAAGTAGTCCTTGAACAATCAATATAAACGCAGCCTGTTCTGGTGGCACAGCTGTTGAAAGAGAATCGTTGGATAGTTTACAAAATTTTGCAGTATTTCCAAGATATTCTAAGCTCAAATAAAGTTTTGAAACTGCCTCGTGTGATTGTCATGCTGATTTAAAGATACATCTTAGCTCCATTACTGAGATCATAGATGGTGTAAATTGTTCTGGCACTGACCACACGTGAGCTGTAAAAACAAAGATGCGTGCTGCTGAGTGACGCACTGTATACTTACACTTGACATAGATTTCTGGGGTCTCACTTAATCCTGCACAGAATCTCAATCAGGATACCAGATTCCCTGATAATCCATGAGAAGGTCACAGCCGTGTGGAGACACAATGAGGCTGGAAGGCCAGCTGAGGACAATGGTCAGCTGCAGAAGCGACTTCACTTAATTGGCTGAGCTGGGAACACCTGTGTTTGCTTTCGCCCAAGGCACATTTCAATAGGATGATGGTCAGCATCATAAACACTCATCAACTGGGAACCTGCAGCCTTATTTTGGTTTTGATCCTTAGTTGCAGTGATGGGAAGGGAAATAAATAGATTTGCGAAACTTGCACTCCTCAGTGCAGTCCTCCGAGCTAACTAAGAAGTGCTACCATCAGCTGCTAATGACACAACTCATTCTATAAGGTGTAAATTCCACAGCATTAAATGCAATCCTGACACGAGGACTTGCAATTAGAAACAGTCTTTCATACATGTGCAAGCAATAAACTGATAGGAAAAATAAAAACAGATCTGGGACACAGTGTACACTTTTTCTTAGATCCAAACTGTGCTCTGGAGAATCTGTATCAGATGTACCACACTTTATTTAATTGCCTCCATGGAGAGAAGTCACACTGTGGTAATGATGTCAGTACAGTGAACATGCAGCTGAAGTAGTAACAGTATATTCTATGACAGAAGCAACAGAGTACTTGGTGTTCTGTCTGCATTCAGCAAGATATAAACACCAGAAATCACGAAATACCAGCCTAAAGTCCTTAAGTATTTCCCTTTTATTGCGTGATTAACCAACTAGAGATGAGTGATGGACTGAAAGAGACTTATCGCCCCACTCTGCAGTCCCACATAATCAAAAGCAGAACACGAGTTGGGAAATATTATGCTTTTATTGCTTGGTTCATGTCACCTTCTGGTTCAGTGCTATAACCAGATAAAGCACTTAATGAGTTTTCTGCTTGTTTACTCAGATGGATAATAGACCACATTGTTGAAAGTCCTCCCTGTCGTCATGCTTTAGGATTCCAAGCTTGTGTTTATTTTGCAATTTGTATTTTTCTATTGAGGATCATACAAGCCTTGGGTCCTTAGGATTTAGAAGTATTTAAGTGTATGTGTGTGGACATTTGACATCCCCCACGTGCCAGCTGAAGGACAAACGTAAACTGAGTTGAACGACAACTGCTCTATCTCGTCGCCCTCGGTCCCCTGCTGTGGGTGCAAAGCTGCTTCTGCTTTCATCTCACGCTTGTAAATAAGTCAGAATAACAATGATGAGATTTATAGAGGGTAGGATCCTCTGCCAAGAGTCTCTCCTTCTTCCTGTCATCTGTACCATACTGAACAGCCAAGTATGCCACCATAAAATTCTAGGTCAGGAAAGTCAGTCTGATTAAAATCCAGCCTGTACTCTGAGACACAATGAGCTGCAAATAATAATAATCATAGATTTGATTCTGTTTTTATTAATACACTAAATTACAAAGGGGTATTCACTAATATTTATTGAATTAGAATATACATTTTGATGAGACTTGTTTCTCAAATCATAGGTACCTTTTGAAAATAACCTTTATCCACATAATAAACATATTATATTAAGCCCACATTTATGCGTTAAAATGTTTTTTTACTTGACTGATGATAACTAATATCCTCGTGTTAAATGTTGTAAGAAGAAACATCATAGTTAACAAAACTAAAGGCTTTAGTCTGAGTGTAATTATTCTACTTATGTTTAACTTGGTTAATTGAAATAAAATAGCTTTCAAAAATATTTTAATATAGTGAACATAGCTATATGTTGGCTTTTGAAGCTCCATGGGGACTTAAGCATGTCTAATCGTGCTGCATTGAATGCCCAAAACTATTTCTATAAATAAATAAGTGTAACACAAGAGTTTGTAAACAGATAACTAAACCCATAAATGTTTTGTAAATCTATATTTTAAACCTCACATCTTTGACGTTTATTTCCAGAAGGGGAAGGTAAACACTCATCTCCATACTTCTCCACTGCCAAAATATTTATTACTGCAAAGACACTTCATATTTATGAAGTCATGTTGCACTAAAATGTTGCTCTTTTGAATGAATGAATAAATTTTCTCTTTTTGTATATATGAACATCAAAATCTCTATGGGTTATACCTGAATACAAAATGACACCATCAGTTCATTGCCAATGCTTAGACAATATACAATTTATTTGCTTGATCTAAAACCTTAATTTTAAGTAAAACTTTCACATATTATCTACTTTGCAATTGAGTTAACTTAAATTCAAACTTACAGAGGGACAAAAACATGTCACTTTGGCTCCCTCTATTGGGCAGAATTAAGTACACATTTGAGTAAGGAACATTCTGAAAATTGCATTCTAAGGAGCCTTTTTTGTTCTGGCTTTCATTAGAAAAAAAAATCTACATAAAAAAAAACACATTATGTTATTAGTATAGTCTATTACAGTTCTTTTTTTCTATTATTCTTGTTATGCCGTGACCTGGAAATAGTGCACAAACTACATACTATTTACAATTTAAAAAGCTAATTAAATTAGTTTAATAAGCTCTAAATCGCTTCCAACTTTATCTCTCTCATAATCATATGAAGATGTACACAATCTCCTTGTCCAAACCCACAGTAAGAGTCCTACCATTATAATCTTAGATTTTTTTTTTATAACAGTTGAAGTCAGATACACAACTTGCAATTTAGAAAAATACATACTAAAAACATACTAAAGATGTTAAGCATTTCCTTCATGGAAACATGAAGGAAAATTGTCTTGGTGTTCTCACACAGGTTGCTTTGGCTGTAACTTTTTTGGGATATGGAAAATAATTGGCATATTTATTCTACCTTTGCAGACCTTTGATAAGAGAACAGAAAATCAATCTTCTTAATTCTCAACTGCATGGCTTTAGTATCAGAGTTGAAATGCTTTCTAAGAACTGTAGAGAGAAGTATGGAGGTCTGTAGTCCAAAGGCTGACATGTTTATCAGTTTTCAGTTGTTACTATAGTAACAATGTAAATTTAACTGGTGGAGATTAGGAGTAATCTCTAAGATATGAATAACATTGACACACCTTTCTGAGGAAATGCGTCTAATCTCGACTCTCTCCTGGACGTCAGTGTTTAATTTTCAGTCACATCACCTTACAGTTGAAATGTTGGAAGTAAGATTCTCGTATGAGGAACAGGCTAAAGAATCCTTCGAGATATACAGATTTTACAAGTATGCAGTGTCCTGAGAAGTCACTACTTTAACTGTAATCTACAAGAGTAAGCTCTTGATTAATTTATCAGATATTATTAATTTGCATAAGTAATTTACCCAAACAAAATATTTAATTATAATTCTTAAATAATGTGTCATTACTACACCCATACTCCAACAAGCAGAAGCTGGAGCATCCAACAGTCTGGTGTTAGACTTGACACAGCTTTGTTACATTTAAAATATAGAAAAAGCAAAGTACTTATAGAATGAAACCGCCGAACATTGGATTATAGTATACTCTTTACTGTAGGTGCTTTTGAACTCAATGCTTAAAGGTCCAAATATGACCATCATGGTATGAGAGGGTGTAATAGCTGGATGCCCACATTAAACACTTGATTCCAGAAACAGGCCACTGTTAAACTATAGTGCCACATCCCATCTGAGCCTCATACTAAACCACATTGCAGTCTCAATTACCAGGCTGCTGATAATGGTTCATCTGGTGATTGTTGACCTAGTATTACTTTAACAAACTGTCAAGACACTCACTCTGTAATACCATGCCAACTCTGTGCCATTTTAGACTACACCTGTAACATCATTATTGTGAGCTATAGTGACTATCTTTGTGAAACTGGATTTTGCTATGTTGTTGATAAGTCAAAAATATCAGCTTTTTCATCATTTGAAAAAATAAAACGGCGTCTCTGGAGCTCTTCCAGCCGGACATAGTGCACCTGTGACGCAGCATATCCGCACAGAGCTCGTTTGGGACAGCTGGCTGCTGTTTCTTCGCTCCACACGACAATAAAGCGGGACGTTTTTTGTCACTCGGTGAATCGCGCAGTCACGCGTTCCACCCAAACCAGGGCGGACTGCAGTCCACTAGCCTCTGATCAAACCAGTCCCATGATCGGCTCTGGTCCAGCGGAAACAGAGGTCCGTGTTAGGGGGATTTTTGCCTGTCTTTTGCTTTTCCTTCCACTTTCCAGTTTGAGCGACAGCAGATTGCAACCACCTCGAGAAAAGGTACATACACTCAAAACCAAAAAAACAGCTCGTGTAACTGAAATTTATTTCGCGGACACTCAAAATTTGGCGTCTGTTGATTCATTTCCGGGTGGGTGAACTACTACTTTGAGGCGCATTGATATTTTCGATTACGTTATGAGGGTTCTGTAGCTAAGCAGCTTTACATTAAGAGGTCTTAATATAAACCGTCGTAGTCCGTAGGAGGCTCAGTGGTACAAGCAATGTTTTAAGTGGAAAACATTGCTTTATCTATGGCAAGCCATTTTAACATACATTCGGTTTCGTCATGTGAGGGCAGTAAAACAGAATTTATGTTAAAAATGGCTTGCCATAGTCCCGCCCACTTTACAGCTATAGCCTATGATGTGCAACGTTCTTGTGCTTCTCATTTTTGAGTCTTGGTTTATAAAATCCTTCACAGTTAGCCTAAATACTTTTACAAGTTGTTCCCAGGACATACATACATACATACATGTTTTACTCATTTTATATGTAAACCAACTTTAATTTGTGCTGTCTTTAAAGGACTGCGAAGGTAAGTACATTCAGTTGATCAAGTTTAAGGTCTTTGTAATTATAGATAAATAAAGAATGGAAAAAAATGTAATCTGTAATTGTTTAATTTCTACTTTAATGAAATCTTTAAAATTTGCACAAAAAACTTATTCAGTGTAAGTGTTTTGTTTTTAATATGTTGAAAGTGAAAAGTTGTAAAATTTCCTTGCCTTTTAGCCTCTGAGATCTTTATATATAATGCCTGCATATCAGATTCCAAAAAAGCTGTAAAATGGTTCTTTACCACTTAGCTGAATGAGAAGCTAAGTTTAACATTGTGTTGTTTAGTAAATTGTGGAATGAGGCAGTAAAAAATCTATAGAAATGTCAGCCTAGACAACTGGATTTTGAAAAGCAAACATTGTTTGAAATTGCATCCATGGAAAGGCTTTGAAAAAAGAAGACAGTGCTTGAAGAAATGGAAAAACTAGACTTGAGTGTGACTCAATAATTTTACAATGTAATGTACACTTTGAATGTTTCTTATGTTCCATGAAACATTGAATATATTTCATTGGGCTTTTTTGTTTATGGGTGCAACAGGCAATAAAATCACTTGATTTCAATTCACTCGAATTCCTCTATCCTAGCAAAGCCCAACAACATCAACCATGCCGGTCACCAGCAACGCAGATTTTGCCCTTGGATTGTTCCACACTCTGAGCCAAGCAAATCCGGCCAGGAACATCTTTGTCTCTCCACTGAGCATCAGCTCGGCGATGGCAATGGTCTATTTAGGTGCTAAAGGAGACACTGCAACTCAGATGGCAAAGGTCAGTCCTCCTTATGTCCTCTAACCATTTGTAAGTTCTGACAGGTATCACCAGTATTACAACAGTTGTGTAAGGTACAAACCGACAGGCGTGTCCTGGGTGAGGCCCTTACTTCATGGAATGAACCTGCACTTTGACCTCATTTAATAACCCTTGGAACAAGCTATGCATTGTTTGTAAGAAAAAAAAAAAGAAAAAAAGCAGAACAACAAGTTTTTGTACTCCATTCCTCTGAAAAACTTCTTCTTGTCAGAAAGTGCATTTAAGTTAGATTGATGGCCTTTGTGTTGCCAAATGTTTCTTCTTTTTTTTTGCACTTCCTTATAGATTTAGATGGAGATGTTAGACATGTTTTTGCTGCTGTGACTGCTTAACATTCCTTTTTTGTGTCTTGAATTAAGTTTAATTCTCCTCTCCTCATTTCCCTCAGGCCCTCTCATTCACTAGTGGTGAAGGCGTCCATGCAGATTTCCAAAACCTAAACTCTGACATAAACTCCCCGTCTGCATCGTACATCCTGAAGGTGGCCAACCGGCTTTATGGAGAGACCACGTCTAATTTTCTCCCTGTGAGTTTGCATACATCTGCTCATCAAACTGATTTTAAAATGTGGGAAAATGAAATTGAGTCATCAATTTTCCAATATCTGCAGAAATTCTTAGAGGAGACACGAAAGTTCTACCAGGCAGACCTGAAGACTGTTGATTTCATTGGAAAACCAGAGGACGGCAGAGCTGAGATCAACGCCTGGGTGGAGGAGCAGACAGAAAGTAAGAATATTAATATGATTGGAAATCAGCGACCACTGAGTTTTTGTCTCTTGGCTTAGGCTACAGTATTGGATTATCTGTCTTATTTTCAGACAAGATAAAAGACCTTCTGAAGCCAGGAACTGTCAACAGTATGACAAGACTGGCTCTGGTGAATGCCATCTACTTTAAAGGAAGCTGGAAGAGTCGTTTTGATGCGGCCAACACCAAGGAGATGCCCTTTAAAGTCAGCGTGGTAAGATGATTTGTAGAAGTAGATACTCGGACAGATGTAGAGCAAAGTTTCTTCAACAACAAATGCTCTGAAGAATAATTGTTGTTTTTTGTTGTGTGTCAGAATGAGACCAAAACAGTCCAGATGATGTACCAGATGAAGAAGCTGCCCTTCAACTATATCCCTGACTTGGGACTGCAGATCCTGGAGCTTCCATATGTGAAACAGGAGCTCAGCATGTTCATCCTGCTGCCAGAGTTATCTACAGATGGCTCAGATTCTTTGCTGAAGGTACACACCCAGAAATAAAACACTGAAGACAACCTAAATGTAGTTTTCAAGCTGCAACTCTAATAGCTAGAGAATAAACAATGTAGTCACCAGATTTACTCCGTTGCAGCTGGAAAAAGAGCTGACGCCGGAGAGGCTGGATGAATGGACCGACAGGACAAACATGGACATCCAATCAGAAATTATTGTCCACCTGCCAAAGTTCAAGCTGGAAGAGGATTACGAACTCAAGGAACATCTGTCCAAGATGGGCATGAGTGACGTGTTCTGCGCTGGCAAAGCTGACCTGACAGGCATGAATGAAGATGGGGGCCTCTTCTTGTCTACGGTGGCCCATAAGGCCTTTGTGGATGTTAATGAAGAGGGCACAGAAGCTGCTGCAGCCACAGCCGGCATGGTATCTTTCTGCATGTTGAGGGAGGAGCACTTCCAAGCAGATCACCCCTTCCTCTTCTTCATCAGACACAACAAGACCAAGTCCATCCTCTTCTTTGGCAGATTCTCTTCTCCTTAAGAGAACTGATATAATTAATTTGTTGCTAAAATAAAAGTTGCCATTGACTTTATGAAATAATCATTTGCTTTTTGTTAACTTTAAGAAGTAATTGCAATAAAAACTAATTCTTTAAAGAAATGTTTCACATTATTTTGTTTAATTTTTTTTATATAAAGCATTGATGAATTGAGTAAAAAAGAACTGAAACTGTTTCAATAAGAAATGTTAAGCTGTTTCTTCTGAACAGATCAAAAGTCATGAGTAGATTTTGGATTTATTAAATGATAATCAAAAGTAAACCAAATATTAACTGAGGTGATTGGCAGGGGTAGCGAGCTGAGACAAATGAAAATACTGCTGCAGCGACAAGTGGGATACGATATTATGCATTGTATCCCAATGCAATGTTGACCAAGGTTCTTAACAGTTAATTGTTAAATGCATGTGCTAGTTCACATTTTCAGTGACACAAATACGTATTTCTAGTCTTTTAAAAAATATGCCAACATTAAAGTAAACAGTAGTTAAGATCCTGGCTTGGTAACAAATGCAGTGGTCTGGAGGAACTTATTCTATTGACCTACTACAGCCATGTAGAGATAACCTAAACAGGAAACTCCTTTATTATGTTATGTTTTTTTTTTTTTTACACAACTTCTGCTGTAAAGAATACATTCATATAAACTAATTTATAAAAAGTAACTGAGTAATTTGTAGAACAGTTGTATACCTGAGTTTATCCTAGGTGTATCTGGGACCTCATGAGGTGGGTTTATTTAAATAAGACAGTTTTACCAAAGAACATGCAGAACATAATATGAAAGTAAACGAAGAGTCAATTTCAGCTGAATTTGGATTCAGATAGATCAAGTAGAAACAGAAAAGAACCAGATGAAACAACAACAAAGTGATAACCAATACTTTATTTTTTATGTAAGATCAAACTCGTCCCAAACTACGAAACCTTTCGTTTTCTCTTGAGGCTGCTCTATATTGACACTGTGCCGTAAAAGATCAACAATTATTTTGGCAAATAATTACACAGTTTGGCGCGCCAGTGTTGTCTGTATTGGTCACGTGACTTGCTTAAAAGAATACGTGCACCGACACGTTGTTTGTAAGGGCTTGACGCATGCGCCGACGCATCAGTGTTGCCGGATCCATCACTAGCTAACAGGTAAGGAGCTGCTGTTTTACACAGTACTTTAACTAACAGTTAATGCTATTTTACTTAACCGAGTTGAAATCTGTAGAAACAAGACCTATAGTACTTTTTTGTTTCATACATTCGGTTTTAATTGTCTAAATTTCTTGGTAATTAATTACAAAGGAATTAGCTGTGTGTAAGTTTTTGGTTAGCTAGCACAACTTTGGTAAGATCCTGTCTGCCTGGTTTTACTTGTCAGAATTTTACTGAAAACACCAATGACACGTCCTGTACTCTCATTTCTTTAGAGATTAGCAAGGTCATTTTAAACTTTCGAATCATAGTGGCATGATACAAAATATACATTAAGTTTGTTTTTAAACTTAAATTTAGCAACAGCATATTGACATAGTAAGTGATTAGATTTATACATAAACTCCCGAGGCTAAAATATCTACCTGCAGACAAGTCTGCGTATCATTTCGATTTTGTTGTCCGGTTTCTAAAGGTTTAAGTCTCTTTCTAATCATGTTGTGTCTCCTTTTCACTAACGTGATTCGCTGTGTCTACCTTTGTTCAAGGAGAGGACGACTTAAGGGTTGAATAACCTTTCAGAAAACAATGGGGTTTTTTTTTTGTGTGTGTGTTTCTGATCTACATTTGTGGCTTTGCATTACTTTTAGCATTATTAGTTGTTCCATTTCACATTGAGACAAAGATTTTTGGCTTTATTTTTGGTCTTATATTTCGCTCCGTGTAGTTTACTGAATGGAGCCTATTTTTTTCCCTTTTGACACTTGGGCTTTTGGGAGTTGATTTGGATTTAAATATCAAATTTTAGGAGCATCATGTTATAGCTGATCATTATTAATGTGTTGTTTCTTTGATGTTGTCTTGTTTGATCAGATAAACCCTCAGTGTACTGGTCAGATGAAGGTGTTGGTCACAGGAGGCTCTGGATTGGTGGGGAGAGCCATACGTCATGTTATAGAAGAAGAGGGAGCCAAAAAAGGAGAAGAATGGATATTTCTGTCCTCCAAAGATGCAAACCTAATGTGAGAATTACTACCTTGTTACGTTTTGTACACTTTTTTCTTTTTTTAAAAGAGTCCACATGCATTCAGTGTGCTTCTGGTTTTATAGGAACAAAGAGGAAACACAGGCTGTTTTTGAAAAACATCGGCCCACTCATGTCATCCATCTGGCTGCTATGGTGGGAGGTCTTTTCAAGAACATGAAGCACAACTTGGACTTCTGGGTAGGTGACTGAAAAATGACTAACCTTCATAAAGGATGAATCATCATCAGCCTTAGGCTAAAATTATGGTTATGCTCAAAATCCATCAAGTACTAATTAACAGGACAATTACAAAATTTGATAGTCCTTGGATTGAATGCCATTATGTTCTCAGTGAACTAATGCACAACACTTTAGAACAAAAGAAGACATCTAGCAAAATCGAAAACTTTATAATGTTGCAAAATTAAACAATTTAAGAAAATAGTTAGAAATCAGAATTGTTTGCTGATAACTTAGCTCTGTGACTGCATAAAGCTATGGCAGCAAAGAAGCAACAAGGTCCAGAACAATTTTATTTAAAATGTTTGCTTCCTCACTGGTTGCCTCTCTGTTACTCGTCTTTCAGCTTTGCACAGACTCATGCACCGTTTTAGTCTATATTCCACAAGGTTATCACAGAATGGTTCCTACCCTTTTGCTTCCAAACTATCAATGTCTGTCATGCAGAGGAACAACGTCTACATCAACGATAATGTGCTGCAGGCAGCACATGAGGTCGGGACTGTTAAAGTTGTTTCCTGTCTATCCACCTGTATTTTTCCCGATAAAACAACATATCCTATCGACGAGACCATGGTAAAAGCTCTTCTGATCCATAATTTTTAAAATAAATAATGTTTTTTTTTCAATGGTGACCAAATGTTCTTGTGTCTGCAACCAGATTCACAATGGCCCTCCTCATGAGTCCAACTTTGGTTATGCCTATGCTAAAAGGATGATTGATGTTCACAACAGGTCAGACTTTTGTGCTGTTTTGTAACAAAAAACAAACAAACAAACAAACAAAAAACACTTCTTTAAGTAGATAATTTGGGTCTGAGTTTCAGTTTATGTGTACATCTCCCAGGGCCTATTTCCAGCAACATGGCCGATGCTACACAGCTGTGATTCCCACAAATGTGTTTGGTCCTCATGACAACTTCAGCATCGAGGATGGCCATGTGCTCCCAGGGCTCATACATAAGGCATACATCGCTCAAAGTAAGTCTGCTTTTCGGGAGAGTTAGGGCTCAGTATATTGGAGTTTGGAGGTGAAAGTTGAGTACACAGACTGAAATTTTGGTGGGTTTTTTTTTTGGTCAGAGGAGGGGAAGCCCCTAGTGGTCTGGGGTTCAGGCTCTCCTAGAAGGCAGTTCATCTACTCTTTGGACTTGGCTCGTCTTTTCCTCTGGGTCCTGAGGGAGTATCCAGAGGTCGACCCAATCATTCTCTCTGGTGAGTTTCGATGCATGAATGTAAATTTAAATTGTTAACAGTGACATTTAGTAATACGCTGTTTGGTTGCAGTTGGGGAAGAAGATGAAGTTTCCATTAAAGAAGCAGCAGAGGCAGTTGTTGAGTCGTTGAGCTTTAAAGGAGAAGTAGTGGTATCCTTTCAATAAAATTATCTGCTTCTGGAAATTCTCATTTACAGTAGATAGTGATTCTGTATGTAAAAAAAAAATTTGAGGAAAAGAAATAGTGTTACAGCCTGATTTCATATGTTTAACATCCTAAAACTAACAGTTGAAATGTAACAGTCATCTAAAGGTGAATGGTATATTGATTGTTTTAAATCTTGTCTCCTAACAAAAAAAAGAAGATGTCATTGTGGTAAAACACTCTGGTGTTCCTTTAGTAAGGAGTAGTGTAATTTTCAGCCTTGTTTGATTTCCTCAAGTTTTTTTTTAAAATACTAATATTTTAAATGTTCAATGACATATGGTAAAAATCACAATGGTTAAACATTGTGATTTTTTTTAAACTTTACTTTCAATTTCTTTGACTCATGATGTCCAGTATGACACCAGTAAAGCAGATGGTCAGTTTAAGAAGACTGCCAGTAATGCAAAACTACGCCAGTACCTGCCAGACTTCAAATTCACACCCTTCAGCCAAGGTGAGGTCATATCCTTCTGTTTTGCATGTATTTACTAAAGTAAGTAACCATTTGTTATGACAGATGTTTTCTTTTCACTTGTAGCTTTAAAAGAAACTTGTGATTGGTTTGTTGCCAATTATGACACCGCCCGGAAATAAGACGACCCCTGACCCAGTTGGCATCAAAGCTGTCCATTGAATGACAATTTCTGCAAAAAGAAAAACTAATGAGGTAAACAGTGGAGAGTATTGTAGGACATTAGATTATGTGCAGAAAGTAGTGAGCTAATAATGATGTCTGATAACCATTAAAAAGCTTTGTAGTTTTAAATTGAGACTGTAACATGTTTTAGTTGTTTCCTGCCTGTTTCTTTTTCAGTTACAACTTTTTGTTCTTTTGTGTTAAATGTGTTTGAGTTTATATTTTACAGTAGTCATATTCCTTTCCTTATTCAAATTACTACAGAAAAGCATAAAAAAAACCTGAAAGTTCCACTCAAGTGTTCATTAAACATGTTTAAATAATAACTTCCTATTTCTAACTGGTTAATTAAGAAATTATTTTCTCCGTTCAGGAGATTTAAACTGGTATCCTACCAAGGAAACTAATAACACTCTGGTGAATCTTGTGATAAAATTTAATTCTGGTAGATTTTATACAGACTTTCTAATTTCTATTCTGGTTCTGAAGAGCATTTTGCTTATGTTCACAGGCATCAGAACAATAAATAATGTCAAGCTGTGGTTGTATAAAGCAGTATGAAAGGAAACAGCTGAAAATTTCACTTTTCTAAACATAAGTCAGGGTTTTACTTTCAGGGGTGGGACTTTACAAAATGTAGCTGTCAATGTTATTCATAAAATAAAGCCTTATTCACACTAACTTACCATTAAAGCCAATGTTCTAGGTTTTTCACAATTCTAGCAAAGGGTTTTTTTCCATTCAGAAAATGTATACTTTTCTCCTGTTGTCCATGAAGCTCACCCGCTTCTGCTACATAGATTCTTTGAGAACAATCAAGATTACGGTTCACACTTTCCCAGAAACTTATATTCTGTAGTTTCAGAAGAAATGTCAATCATAAAAAAAAGCTGCATTCCTCTTTAGTATTGGGAGCTCTTTGTAAAAGTTTCAAATTGTTTATTTTTTTAGAAAAATAAAGGTGGATTGATTTACATTTTGTATTTTTAATTTATTTCCATCCCTTTTCACCTTTGAAAATTTAATAGTTCCTTGTTAGATATGTGGCGACGGTGCTAAAGTCCAGTTTTTTGTACGTGCATAAAAAATAAATTCCTTTCCTTATTCAAATTACTATTATATTAATATAAATGTTACAGGATGAGCATAAGTGTGAATGATATAAGTTTTATTAAAAAAAAGACAAGATTTTCAATGTGTGGTTATTTGAATTTATTAAATACTGAAATGGTTTATATTTGCACCACCTGCAACCTTTTACTTAAAAATGTTTTTTTAAAAATCAGTGAGAAATGATTTTAGAAAAAAAAAGTAAAAATTCTATTTCTAGTGACAAATTTAAAATTTCTACAGATGTAGTGCAGTTAAAAAGTGCTGCAAACTGTTTTTGGAGCAGCAGCTCCAGTTAAAAACATAAAATGTCTCAATTTTCAACATTTTAGGACTGAACATAAGAACTGTGTCCCCCCTCATGGACGCGGCAGTATTCGTGTCCTGGAACTGCCTTCTTCTTACAGGCTTTCCCTGCTTTGGTGATTCCGTTACACAGGAAACGGCCCGAGAAAGAGCTGCCAAAAAAAATCAGAGAAATGAGGTCACTCTCAGACTTTACTGTGTTTCTGTAGACAAACTAAACATTTTGTGTAGCATTACATCAGTAGTTATGGTAATGTTTGGCACTATCATGAAAATGATTCTTTAAAATGTATGAGAATTTATTTTTTATGCACGTACAAAAAACTGGATTCATGTCTATAATTAGTATTCGGCATTGTTCATTAATTGTTCGGAGTAAAATTAGGTTTAAAATTAACATGTATAAAAAGAACAGAAATAATTTCACTTTAGACTTTAGGATGAAGATAGTTGTCTTTTAGAACCCTAGTGTCCTTAAATAGTGGGAAAAAAAAACTGAATCAGTGTTTCTGATTGATGGATCTCATCATCATTTACTCCATAAATATTTTATTGACAGTGTTTTTCTTCAATATTAGGAGTAGAGCTATTCTAACACACCAGCATTTAAAATCCCTAAAATAATTTAGAATGTGACTATTCTAGAGTGACAATACTTTACTGTAAACAAGCATGTTTAAAGTAAAAAAAGAAATCAAACATTTCCAGGATTTGAGAAGTAGATATTCAACACATTCAAAACACTAACCTGTTGGTGATAATCGATAGAGTGGGACTTGCACTTCTAGAGTCTCTGCCAAAATCATGAGACTCATTCGCTGCATCAAAAACTCCCAAGATTTTTTGAGGGATATCATCAACTAGAGCCTGAAAAAAAAATGAATGCATCAAATAATGACTCATGAAGTGCTGAACTTTTAGCAGAAAATGGCAATCAGCTCACCCTTGATAAAAGTTGGTGGGTTATCGGCCTGGGAGTGGACTGATTCGGTGTTCCAAATATTTGTGGGAAGTTAGGCTGTGGAACGGGTCTCCTCTGAGGGGGAGATACTGCTGATATCCCAAGTTCATCTGAAAACAAAAAGAGTAATAAAAATTTAATCCATTACAGTGAATCTTTTCTACTGAACTTCAAGTTTCATTTTTTACCTGATAAAAAGCTGTCATGATCCAACAAGTTGTCTGGCTCAAATAAGTCACATTTTTCACATCTGAAAGTTCAGATTAAAATTTACAACATGAGGAATTTTGAGGCGCAGTAATTCATTATCAAGATTCGAAACGCAAAGTACAAATATTCAGTGATCTGTAACTATTTGAGAAAATTAACTTTATTCAAACATCATTTGAAAAAAGTTCCCAAAAGCTTCAAATAAGGGTGAAATATACAAACCTTTCTGGTGTAGATGATGGTGGACCCAACATCGTGTGCTTCTGAGGCCCCATGACATTGCATGGACCATGCAGCAATGGCAGAACTGACTCTTCTTTGCTTGGCACACAAGCCCAAAGGCAAGTCACAAACCAGTGACCTACAGACAGAAAGGACACCGTTATAAATGTATTTGGAAGCCTCATATTTGACTTGTACTTGGCTTGAAACTTGTACCTAGGGAAAGAATCAGCAGCAGCAGACTGAGGCTTGTGAGGTCCAGCGCTGGCTGCTGGTTGACCTCAGCCACTGCATTCAGGGGAACAGTGAGCAGCAGCATGGCTCTGGAGAAACCCGGACAGCGCAGGAATGTCAGAAGGACTGCACACAATACGAAGTAGGCTGAGTGTGCAACACAGGTCCACATAGCAGTCAGACTTAAACCTGCAAAAAGCAGAAACCCCAAACTTTTATGCAAACACTTTGTGATTTCAAACTAATTCCTTCGAAATTCACTTTTCTCCGCTAATTCGAAGCTGGTGTAAAGCATTGAAATAAAGGGGTCTACACTTTGAATTTTAAAGCAATTTCTTTAATGAGTCTCCAATAAGAATCATTCAAGTGAGGGGAAAACATATTCCAGTTGAAAATCTCAGAAGAACTTTGATCATTTAGCTTTGAATTTATTCTCTTTTTGGCAAAAAAACCAAACTACTGACAGGTGAACAAGTCATTGATGTATAATTCCACAATCCAATTCTTTACGCATTTCCTCTGATTCAAACTTCTTATCTTGTACAAAAAGACTTGAGTGAAGTTTAATTTGCCAAACTCACCTGCCCAGCCAAGGTAACTCTGAATCATGTGAAGCCTCTCCTCTATCCGAACCTCCATGTTGTCCAGATAGTGCATCATGACTCCCAGTGTGCTGTTCATGCGCTCCAGTTTGTTCATCAGGTCAGTGTAGTACTGGGAGGTCTGGTCCTGGTACTGCAGAAACTCAGACATGCTGTGGTCTGTTGATTCACAGCAGCAGATAATTAGATATCAATGCACATCAGTCATTTACTGTGATTATAGAAATGGTTAGAAGTTGATCAGATACCAATTTTCTGGTAGATATCCTGAGCTTGGTGCCTGACCTCTGCAAGGTCGTCAGTGATTGCTTTGTGGCCATCTTGGACCTCTGAGCTTTGGATCTGCAGATGTTCACTCACATTTTCTAATAGAAAGGAAAACAATTTGAAACTGCTCCTTTCAATTAACATCCCTTTGTCATTCACCGGGATGAGTAGGGCTTTTATAGGGATGAAAAATGACGTGCGGTGAGGTTCAAAGCCAGTGAGGCACTGACTTAATCATAATCATATTCAAAAATATATATCCCCTGCATGTTATTGTTTATATAAGGAAATTTCACACATGCAGAGAAATCTGGAAGGCAAGAAAGGCTATTATTTCACATGCCGTGAAACGCATGGCATGTAGAATAAGTCTGTTAACTCAATGAAACTTGGACATGTAGATATTGATTCCGTACTGTGCTCCACACAAAGGGAAAAACCATTAAAGTACAACTCAAAACCACATCTTTCTCACTCTGTATAAGCGCAGTAACGCGCACTCTTTGTAATACAAAGACATTCGTATTTCCATAAAGTGCAGAACATTCAGCTTGTTGCAGTAGTATGGCTTAATGTTTACTTTGCGATTATTAATAAGTGACTGCTGTGGTAAGAGGAGAAAACTATGAATATGTCGCAGCACTTGACTACTGTATGGCTAGTTCGCTGTTACTGTCTCTTACTCTGCAGTTGTGGAGTCACAATATCTGGGATCATGAGCGCCCCCTGCTATGAGGCCAGAGAACTGCCTGCCTCACCTTGAATTTGTTCTCTGCTGTTTCTGATCGGTTCTCAGCACACGAAACACGTTATACACACAGTTGGTGACCAAAAAAAAAGTATATTATATAAATAAGCTAAATTACGGAAAATCTGTTCATGTATGAAATGTTTTTTAACCATTTTATTGGCGACATACAGACAGGAGGAGCATGCACCCATAGAATGGCAGCCACTGCAGTTAGAGAGAAGTTGTGCAATCCCAGGTGATGCTCAGCTCGCTGCCTCACCAGCTTTGCTTCCAAGCATTTGAATGGGAAAATGCAAAAATTCAGCGATTTTGAAGAAAAAAATAATCAGAATTGGTTAAGCTAAATAAAAATAGGTACTTTATAGTACAAACTACAGGGAGAAAATAGCAATACGATCATTCTAATAATATTTTGTCATTATATATTTTTCCATGATGACAGGTGAGGGTCTGTCTCACCTGACCACACATCACTGATGAAAAAATACCAATATTCTTCAGTGTTTTCTCATAGCATAGAGTGGTTTAGCACAAACTACTGGTAGTTTTGCCAGATTGAGTTCACTGTAATTAGCTTCTAAAACACACCAAGCCTCTCACCCATTCTTTTAGTGATTCCCTGAATGAGTTGGGCTACCAGCTCCTGTCCAGAGGCTATGAGGGCCTTTTCCTGACTAAGACGTTCCAGGTTTTCTCTCAGTGAACCTTCCATCTGCTCCTGGCCCTCATGCAGTTTGCCCTGTTGAGCCTGGAGGGCGCTATGGCCCTCGAGCAGCTTGTCGAGAGAAGCTACAGTCAGTTCTTTCAGCTCCAGCTGTCCAACCTGAATCAAAACAGCACAAGAAACTCAGAATCTGGCATACTGAAGCAAAGAGTAGAACGTGTTAGTTTAAAAGAAGTCCAAAAGTCAACCTTCAGGTCTTTCATTGCATTTAACTGGCTTGTTGTTGTGGAGATGAGAGAATTGACTGTAAGCTCTGCTCGGCGGCGAAACAGCTGCTGGCGAGCTGCGTAGCAAACTGAGCGTGCTCTGTTGCTCACTATGTGGTAAGCATTCCAGGTGTCAGGGTCCATATTTGCTGTGCATTCTTTAATGGTCTGAAACAACAAAAACTCCGTTACAAAACATTCCAAGTGGTTCTGTGGGGAAAGAAAACTTTTTATAAAAATAAATCTCATTTCACATCACCATTTCCTGAGTACATGGGAAGGACCGACGCCCTTCGATCTCCGCCTGGCAGTTAAACAGTTCCACTCCAAGCTTGGCAAGATTTTCCTCAGAGAGACTTTCACAGCTTGCCCTCAAACGAGCAACCACCTGGGGATATGTACAATGCTTCAATATGTTTTTCCTTCCTCTTATTTGTTTCCCCAAGTTTAATTCCAAGTCTTTGAAATCTGTTTCATATCTTTGCATCATTCCCAAATAAATATGTAAATCATTTATTTAATCATGCAGATCTTTCTGTATTTTGTCAGTGTGTATAAGAAGGTTTGTGACTGACATTTACTGGTAATAATAGTGAATCAGGTTGGGTTGCAATTTAAAAGGGATTAAAAAGCAGACAGAATACTTTGTATAATATTGATGAAATGAAGAGTGGGCCAGTCTAATTACTGAGGGGTTTTATTGTGCTCACCTCATTTCTCTCCTCACGCTTTCCTTTTCTTACAAGAAAAAATACTTTCATGAAAATGAACTATGGAGGAAATCCATGTTTACCCTGTAGTGGCAGCTGTCCAATGGGCTCAGCTCCAGCTGCTTCGCCTCAGCCAGAAATTTCTCGTCTGAAGTCACCATTTCAAACTGAGCATCCTTCGCCAGGAGCGATGGAGCTACAGGAGGGGGAACCACTGGAGGTGGAGGCTGTGGGGTCCTCAACCATTCAAAGAGCCCACTGACTGCAGGCCAGGCCAGCATGCAGGCTGTAATCAGCAGGAGCGGACAGTGGGTCACAAGGTGGCCCATATCTGGATCAGAACATGAATATAAATTTAAACTGTGTTTTTGCTCATTATTTATACAGCATTACTTCTGCTTATTTATACAACACATTTTCACCAGCAAGGCAACTCAAAGTGCTTCACATTAATTAATAAGGAAATACAGACAAAATAACAAACCAAAGGAAAGAGCAGAAAAAGAAAGAAAATCTAAGTTGATAATCCATTCCATAAAACAGTTTTTCTGTATTCTAGTTTGTTCTAATCCCGTTCTTCGTCACTAAAGTAACAGTGAGTAGGTATCGCGATGGTTTCAACCCAGAAATCAAAATATGCGAATTTGACAAAATTCATTCAGTGTCAATTATTGACTATAGATGGCGACAGACACGGATCATTATTAATGTCTGAAGAATGAAAGACAACTTTCTAAATGTATTTTCCCCTCTTAAGTGATTCTAAAAAGAAAAAGTTTTTGTAATCGACGAGATTAAATGAATAATAATAAATAATAAAAACTTAATTCGGTTGCTTATAAATGAAAGACCAACGATAGGAGGCTTGCCCAGGCATGCCTGACACTAAGAAGCACCGACTGTACACCGGTTTACAAATATGATGTTTTCTAATATTTTTATAGCAAACCCTTTTGTTGCAAGTATACAAAAACAAGCATCCAAAATGACATATGTTCTTGATAATTTATACAAACAATAAAAACATATATACTGCCTTATTGTTCATTTGAAAGAAAGTAAAGTGAAAAAAAACAAGCAAAAAACATACGCTTTAAAGAACATGCATATTACCTTATCTGAGGTTGGAGGAAACTCCTGCAGAAAAAAGCCACCACTGGAGATCCCACAGCTGATGGAGATACAAGCTAAATTTGCTCCACTGACAGGCAACCAATCAAATTTTGTCGCATTTTTCAACGAAGCCTTTATGGGTGCGCTCAATTTGTTTTACGGCGTAAACGACAAACTGCGGGGCAAAACGACGGTCGTTGCACCGCCCGACCCCGTCGGCAGGACGGATTGATAAAATTAAACGAACTATACTTGCATGAACTGGAAACAGCAGTTCATTTGCGCGCGCTGAATCTTTGGAATCAGTAAAATGATCCGTTCTGAAGATCCGTTCACCGGATCCCACTTCTCATTCGTCCAGCACAGTGTGTCGCTTGCTCAGTACCAAAGGTGGCCCCACAGGAAATCTCCGACATTTAAGATTGAATTATCCGAGCAGCTAGCGGTAATATAGGACGCTGCTTCCTTCACTCAGGGATTTGACAGCTCGATGAAATGATTTGCTTCAGCTCGTTCACTCGAATGATTCGAATCATTCACGAACGACACGACACTGTTGGTTCACGTGGATGCTTCGGGGGAGTAACCTAAGCAGACCAGAGAGAGTTCGAAAAGAACGTTTTTACTTGAACTACGCCGGACTGTGATTAAGAAAACGAAATCAGGTGAATAAAGCTCCCTCTGCCTTCTGGCATTGCTATACACCGTGTTTCTTTTATTTGAATCAGTTAAACACATTTGTATGATTTATCCAATTAAAACCAATTCTCTCCCACTGAACTCAGATAGAAACAGAAATATTTACTGTCAGTCTATTTCATGGATTTGTCGGAACCGCTTGTTTAGATTATCGGGATAGCATTGCAGCGCTGCAGCGTCAGTCTGCAGGGTTCGCTTCTCCTAACTAGCCGCGTTAGCACATTGTTATTAGCAACATAGCCGAGTGAAGCTTCATTAGACCGATCGAGCAAACACGAAGAAACTAGAAGCGACTAGATTGGTGATTGTTACTCGCCAGAGCATTACAACCAGTTTCTTTGAGTTGGCACCAAAGCAGGGTGGTGCCAACTGGTCACAAATTTGGTGACTGTGTAGGTTTATGGACTACACAATGTCTTGTTGAAGAAACCATCTTCAGATGATCTGAGATGATACTTGCATTATCCTGCTGGAAGTATCATGCATCAAATGCATTGCATCAAAATCCATTACTCACTTGGCAAGAGTCGCAAACAAGAGATAATATTCCCCCACACCATAAAGGAACCACCACTAGCTTCAACCTTTGATACCTCATAGATTGTATTTTTGCTTTCATGCATGTCTAATTCTAACTGTATTATCTTAATGTCTCACGTTAAAGTTTTTCCAAGTTATTTCCCAGTTTGGGTGAGCCTGAGGGTAAATGATAGCCTCACTTTCCCTTTTTAGCTATGTGTCTTATGAAAAGCATCACTTTTTTAATAGGGAAGATAGTATGACATTTTCTGGCTGCAATATTTGTTTTGCTGCATTTTCCTCAGATCAAAATGAACCAGGGCACACAACAGAGGATCGGCTTTATCGGTGCAGGAAACATGGCTTTTGGCATTGCAAAGGGGATGCTGTCAGGTTAGTGCAGAGAGATTTGTTGAAATATTGAAACAACATTTGAGTGTAAATTTTCATGGTCATTATTTTTGTATTGCAGGAAATGTTCTACCTGCAAACATCAGAGTTAGTGCACCATCCTCTACGAATTTAGGACGATTCCAGGTATTTAAAAAATTATTTTTGATTTTCTGTAATTTATTACAAAGTTGAGTTGCAAGGTAACTCACGACCATGAGCGGCAACAAATCAGGGCATGATACTGTTTCTAAGTTTAGTTTGGTTTTGCTCTATGTTTTCACTTGCAAGCCAACTGCTGCATTGGATTTCTGCAGAGAAAAACTTAATCAGTTATTCCAGCATCCCTAACCCTGAGTATTTTATCTATCAGCTCTATGTGCTTGATAAATCTGTTGTTCAACTGGTTAAATGTTTTCAGGATCTTGGCATTTCTGTGACACACTCCAACACTGAGGTGGTCTGTGGGTCAGATGTGGTGTTTGTCGCCGTCAAGCCTCATGTGATTCCAAGTGTTCTCTTTGAAGTCTCTCAGCACATCACAAAGAGACAGATAATCGTGTCGGTTGCCGCAGGAGTGACGCTAGCTATGTTGGAGGAGGTGAGGGCCACAGCTGCCATTACAGGTTTTCACTCGACAGGTTTCATCTGTCTTGTTATCAAATATTTTGAATCTTTTTTATTTTTTTGCTTTCATTTCAAGCTCCTCCCAGAAAACTCGATTGTCATCAGGCTGATGCCTAACCTTCCCTGTCTGGTTCAAGAGGGGGCCCTGTTGTTTGCACTGGGCACCAATGCAAAAGGGGAGGATGGCGCTCTACTTCTCAGCTTGTTGCATTGCTGTGGTTTGGTGGAGAAAGTGCCTGAAGCCTTGATCGATGTCCACACAGGGCTGAGCGGGAGCGGAGTCGCTTTTGTGAGTCTCAGTGTTGCCATACCTACACGCGATGAATTATACCAGATTTTACACAAGCTTTTGCCAATCTCCCACAACTAACATTCCCAGCTTAGATACTTGTCCAGTAGGTAAAATTTCTTTTGCTATTAATTATTAATCTATTTTGTTGTTTTTGCTGTTTTTATGTCTAGGTGTATCTTTTTGCAGAAGCACTGGCAGAAGGAGCTGTTAAAATGGGCATGCCCAGTACTCTGGCTCACAGGATCGCATCCCAAACTGTTTTGGTGAGTCGCACAATAGCTGCACTTTTGTTTTCCAAAAATGCTCTTGACTAGAAACCCACGTCCAATTTCAGTGTTTGATTGTTTGTAATTTGCTGCAGGGTGCTGGTAAATTGCTACGTGATTCTGGGAAACATCCAGCTCAGCTTCGGGCTGAGGTCTGCACCCCGGGTGGAACAACCATCTATGGGCTTCACACACTGGAGCAGGGAGGCGTGAGGGCGTCTGTCATGAGTGCAGTGGAATCAGCCACTCAGAGAGCAAGGGAGCTTGGGAGGAAATAGGCAGCAGGAAGGGTCCGTGTGTCTGTATACCTTTTAAGAACTACATCTTGAACGTTAACCATGGAAAGTCTTAAAAATAAGATGGCTGTTTTTTAAAATTATTTATTTGTATATCATAACTTGGTATTGTAAGAATTTAAAAAAGATTGTAGTCTTGATTTTCATTAAAAATCAGTTTACACATCTGTTAGGTTTTTCAAAGGACAGACATCTTATGTTTCACTTTGTGTGATGATAAATAAGAAAATCTGTTGGATCACAAGTTTAGTGTCTGCATTAACATGCAGAATAATACTTCCTTTATATTAGAGCAGGTATGCATAATGAGATGTCCATATAAATAAATAATATTGTGTTAGAGAAGAAGTATATTTGCCTTACTCTTTAAGATTGTTATGCGCTTGTAAGGTGGTGTTAGAGGAAAGTTGTTGTATGAATTAGCAGTACTCGCATAGCTCAGTCCCCAGATAGTGAAATGGTCACATGTAATTTGATACACATGCAAACCACTGAATGGTATGTCGGCCTACATGCGAGCTTGCTACATGAGACGAGCACATGTAAAGTAAAAATATGAACCATTTTAAATTCACCAGCTCCTCGCACACAGTTATTTACATACAGAATTTATGCTGTTCACCAAATGTTAAAATTTTTTAATATTTAATTGAACATATGATGGTGAAAAAAGGAAGAAAAAATTGTAGCTTGAATCTTGCTGTCCATTCATTCCTTTCCTGAAATCTTGAATTACACCAAACATGAGTCTGTTTTTAATTACGTTTAATTTTTTTCTCCAGTCATGATACAGTGCTACAAATGAAAGCATGATTCATGTATGTGTGCAAAAGTCATGAGAAAAAACTGTCAACAAATCATCCACTTTGTTCTTGCACAGATCTGTGCAGAGGTAAAGATTTAGCAGCTGACTACAGTTTTAACTGGAAAGTTTGGTTCAGAATGCTGCATCTTCCTGGTAATCTGCCGATTTGTGAAGATAAAGATGTGAATGTGTGTGCAGGGATTTAATGTTTTAGTATTCAAAAAGAGGTCAAAACAGTTAGAGTAGTGCAATAATTTATTGTAAATGAATTTTTATTGGGCTGCACTATTGCCTTGTAGCAAGACGGGTCTGAGTTGGATCCAAGGCGTAGTCTTTCTGGATGGAATTTCCCTTGTCTTTCTGTGCATCCTCCATGGGTTTTCTTCAGGTAGTCTCTCATCCTCCCTCATTCCATAACTGGTAGGTTAATTAGTGACTATAATGTTCTCAATAAAAGGCATGCTTGTGTTTACATGATTGCGTATCTCTGCGTTGCCCTGTGGTGGACTGGCAACCTGTTCAGGGTGCACCATGTCTCTCATCCAATGATAATTGTAATTCCATAAATATATTCCAGTATGATATACATTACTTTTAATAGGTTCCAAATATGATGACAGCCCAACATTCAAGCTTTCTAGCTGAGTCCCTGGAGGGACTGGCCCCAGCTTGGAAATCACTTATTTTCAATTATTTATCAGTTGAATAATACATTCTAATACTTTTAATTATTGTGTATCTGTCAGGGGCGCCATATTTGGGGGAAGAGTTCGCACAATTTCAGGGACAGTCAGGAAGATCCCACAAAAAAGGAAAATCTATGTTTTATATATATAAATAGAACAAATATTTTAGGGCCCTTGGCAATAGAAAAAATAATGCCCCTAAAATTCCCGGCAGCATCCCTGGCGTCAGTAGTTGTTTTTGGCATCAATTCAACCCGAGCATGTGGAGATATTAATGATTCACAAACTCGCCTCCCCCTTCCTCCAATTTCACACAACCGCTGCTGCTCCTTGCTTCTTCTTCCTCCTTCCTTCCCGTTGTCACCCAGCTGGAGGAACACGCGTTTTACCCACCGGCCTGCGGCTCCACCGAAAAACAGACAAAAACACAGCAGTAAGTAACGATGACACTGACTGACGGACAGAGGTCCAGTATGGGGAATGCCGTCAGAACTTGTTAACTGGTCACCCCTGGATATTTATGGGGAAGAATAGCCGGTTATTGAGACTGGTGCTAGCCGAGGCTAGCAGGTTGCTAGCTGGCACGCCTTCCGAATACCGGCGTGAATGGCCGCTGGTCCAGTGTTATGTTCTTCTCTTAATGTCGCTATTGACATGACAAAAGGGTATATTTTTTGACTTGAATTATTGTTCGAGAGGGAGACAATTACCGTTAATTATAAATATTCCCATCGACTTGACACTCAGAAAAATATGGCTAATGTTCAGGTTAGCAAGACGCACTTTCATACGGTGATAGCTCTGATGAGGATCTTTACTGCCTCAGAGGACAGACCTTTGTTCATTTTGTAGGTACATATGTGTTTTAGTTTATAAAACATGTTGCATGTATATACGAATGAGTGTAATTCAGGTCAAAGCGCAATGTTGAGCTTTTCTAAAAAAAAAAAAAAATGGCTTCGAGCTACCGAAAATTCAGTTTCCCTGAAAACTTAAATTTTACAAATTGTATTTGCTGCACAGCCATGGTGAATACTCCTTACTTCACAGTTGAGTGAGAGATGGTCATTGTCACTGTTAACGTTATTGCCAAGATAATTAATGCTAAGTTTAGTGGAAGGAAGAAGGCGCCCAAGGAGCAGTGATAACCTTGAGAGGAATTGAAAGGAGAACTGATTTAAGTAGTTTGGGAAGATTCAGAAGAATACGGTTTGAGTCAGCATGTCAATAATTAGTTGTATTCAGGAGACACCCATCTACCCTTCAGGATATACCCAATATAGATAATGAAGATGCTGATTTCATCTCCTAGCAGGGTTTAGCACCTGCCCATACTACTGATTTATTGACCAGGGCCAATAATGACTGCTGACATTTTAATTTGTCAGCATTTCCTGTGGAAATTGTCAAGAGGAAAACGGGGCAAAGAGAAAGGGAAAGTTGAAGGCCAACAAGCTTCCTTTATTCATCACCAGATCCACATGCTGATTTTCTCTGGCATGCTACATTGGCGAAGCTATTTATGCAAAAGAATCTCTGACAAAATATTCCGTACATATACTGCACAGAAACATACTTTTTTTGTAGGCCAAAGTCATCTTTATGTTTTTGAGAAACGCAGTTTTGGGTTTTCATTAGCTCTAAGTCATATTCATCAAAATAAACATTTGAAATGCATCACCGTGTTTAATGACTTGCTGTATTTAACATTTGAAATTTCTTTTGTAATTTATTGAAATGTGTGTGTACACAGCTGGACATTAATATTAAATGCGTCTTATATCGACCCTAATAAGGTGTTGAAATCCCCTTTTTTCTCATTTTTTATCTTTTAAATTCTCAATTGCTGCTTAGTAATCAGTGGCACAAGTGAAGTGCAAATATAACGTGTTATTTCTTGGTAATGTTAAAATATGCACTTCTAAACATAACATCCCACAAGTAAGGTAGGCAGGTCAGAAACAGGAATTACTCGTCTTGCACTGGTAATTGCAGCCAGTTCCGAATTCACTTGTCTGTTTGTTGAAACTCTGTTACACCCTAAACCTGCTGTTGAAACATAGAGTTCCCAGCAAGAATAAAGCAATGTTTGCTGATTAAGACAATAATAATACAAAAAAAGAAACAGCTGGACATGACATTTGTAACCTTAGTCGAGACATTATATCTTGTCCCTAAAAATATTCCTGGAACTAGATTTTTGTTATGAAAACAGTTTTGCAGCCCATGCATAGTTGAAGCACTCTCTTAAAGTTTGAAGATCATCAAGAAATCAGAAAGATACATCAGTTTGTATTTTTGGAAAATGTATAAAAATTCCTAATAAAAGTGTGCAGCATACATTTTTTATGTGAACTTTTCTTGAAAGTAATATCTTGTCTCGTTCTCATGAGTTCAATATCACCTAATAACACTTTCTTACAAATTGAATGGTATATGTGGATAGTCTGAAACTAATAGATTTTGGCATGACCTTAGCTTTATTTTTTATTTTTATTTATTTTTTTAACATATTTGCATGCCATGCATTTGTGTTACTAAATTTACAAGGTGGTGATTGTTAAATTTCTCTTTCACTTGCTTGCGGTTAACTGGATGAAAAGAACGTGTTGAGAGGTTAACTTTATTTATAGCTTGACAGCTACAACTTTACAGAGGAAGGTGAGTTAAGAACATAAAAATCATATGTGAAACTCCCAAACTTTCCAAAAGGGAATTACTGTTAGCTCCATATTAATGTTGTGTAAGTGAGTAAATGCCTAATTTTATTGTGTATTATAAAACAGCATGATTTACATAATATATAATTTATTACACAAACTTGCATGAACATTGTTTTTCCTTTGGTTGCTCTTGTATCTGAATTACATTGTTCATATTGTAACCTGTATACCTTATGAACAGGTTACTACATAAAGTGGATATTACTTGCTTTTCTAAACCATATGCAGTGTACTGTAATAGTGTGCAGGCCCTATGAACTCCTCCACATTTTGTGATGTTTTAACCACAAACCTCTGTGTGTTTTATTGTGATTTTATGTGACAGACCAACCACTAAAGTAGTGCAGAATTGTGAGGAGAAGGAAATGTTTTTTTTTTCCAAATAGAACTAACTTTTGCTCCATTAATATCGGCAATGTCTCTTCCAGATTTGCAATTTTAGGTTTTTCTTCTGTTTTCACACTCAGATTGGATGGAGAATGTTATCATTAATCTTCATGTCCTTCCACAGATTCAAATTTTGAATGACGTTTTAAACTTTGACTGGACAGTGGTGACTTCTGAACCAGGACTCACAATGTAAAGTCCTGCAACTTTCAGTTGTCATTTTGCCATATCAAACCCAGTTCAAACAAATTAGTTATTAGCAGGACACTGTGCAACTTGGGTACCTGTTGCAGGACCCTAACCCCCAAGGACTGAAGTCCAGTCTTATGGTGTAAATTCTTCTACTATAGATCTGGAAGAATATTTAGTGGTGTCCTGCCTCAATTTCCACTTTTCTGGAGTCTTTATTTTATTTTAGGATTCCTTTGTATGAAGCTTTATTGCTGTGCTCATCAACTCTGATCAATTCTTTCACTGCTCAAGAAAAGCAATTCCACAGAATGATGGCTGGAACTGAACATCTCACTAAAATACACTGAAGTTTGTGGTTTTAAGGTGACAATGTGGAAAGGATCTAGAAGTAGTCACCCTTTGCATGAACCACTTTTTGAACTATTAGTTATTGTAGTGCTCTGTGATTGCTTGTACTGCCATAATTCTGATCTGCCAATTCATACCCAAAATGAACACATTAGTCTGCATGCTGCTTGTTTTTCTTTTTTTGAGGACTTGCCTGTGGATTCTTTCTAGTTTGCGTATACTTCCTTTAGATTGGAATATATGCCGTTAATAATCTGTCGCCTAAAAATGAACCCTTCTTTGTCTTTCTGCCTTTGTAACTAACCCAAAAGCTTGTACCTGTTATTCTCTTTTTGTCCTACGATTGCCCTAAGATGTCCAAGAAGATCTCCCAGTGCTCTGTTAAGGACCAATCGGAGTATGATCAGCCTCCCAGCCAAAGTCATTTGGATCAAACCAACCTGGGTTGTAGGAAAAAGACAGAACCAGGCCAGAGAAATGGAGAAACAACCTCTTCATCCCCAGAGAGTGGTAGCTTGAATGGAAATGGAAAGCGCAGTGGGAAAAGCCGTCGCCGCAAGAAACGCTCCTCTAATCCCGGGAGCCACCAGGAGGGAAAGGCAGATGAAGTGAAAAACAAAGAGAAATCTGACGAACTCACCAGCCAGTCGCCTGAGCCACCGGTTGCATTAACGGCCTTGCAATCGGAATGTGACAGTGTGTGGTTTGAGCGCAACATCTACGAACAAGCTGAGAGCCTCTACCAGTGCTGGCTAGTGAGCTCCGCTAACCAACTCTCCAAGCCCAACCGTTCACATCAGTCCTCAGGGAAACATTCAAGCAATCCATCCACTGTGGCTCCATCCTCCTCCAGACCAGCTTGTCACCATGTTGATCAGGTGGCTTGCCATCACATAGTGGAGGAAGTCTGGGTCAACAAGAGGACTTTCGACCAAGCAGAGCGGCACTTTGTTGAGGGATCTGCTCCCCCATCAGCTCCTAACTCTCTTGACATCTCACCTCCGACTAACCGCTCCGGCGCCTCCAGAACACCCGATGAAGGGTATCAGTCACAAGTCCTGACTCCAGCAACCCCTGTTGTCCAACAGGCAGCATGTACGCCGACTTCTCGGCAGTCGATTAACGGGCTGCCACGC